GCTTTAAAAAGCTCTTTCTTCCATTGTTCTGCGACCTTACATGTGCCAGGATCTACAAAAGCAGATGTTTTTCCCTTTGTTCTCTGTATCCTGCTTTCTCGAGTAGTTAAGTTGAGATAGGGAGACCCAGTGAAATACTGCTCTTGGATCCTGGGCAGCTGGAGATAACGGAGGTGCCGGGGACCAAACTCAGCAACTTCCCTGAGCTGCTCCGGGCCTCAGATGCTCCCTGCTGAAGAGTAAGCCCATGGAAGGGCTCACTCATCGCTGACCTCGGCTACAAAGCTGTCAAGTTTGTCCCTGAAAATCGTAGGAGTTAAGTGGTCCTCCCGTCATAGGCAGATCACCTATATATGCTAGCATGCCATAGATAGCAGGTGGGAACTGGCGAAACTGAATTGCTCTGTGTTCAAATGGGGTTGTTCAGCTTTTGTTCAGTTGAAAGCAGACCTTCGTCTTGGCAAAGATACCGTTTGGCCTTACATACTTGGTTGACGCAGAGAAGGTACTAAATTGCAAGTTTGCTTTAGCAGCTAAAATCTCTCTATGTGGCTGTAACGGTCCAAAAGTAATGAGACTTAAAATTCTCAGGACTGTGCCCAAAACTCATATTGGATTTGCCTTAAAACAGAATTGCAAAGCTTTCTCTGCGCGAGAGAGGAAGGCGACGAAATCTGGCCCCGAATCAGTGCGGAACTGTTCAGTGAACTATTTCTGAGCTGTAGCCTCGAGAAGAGTTCTTTGCTCAGTGTGTGTCCCCTTAGACACAGCCTATGGCACGGAGAAGAGCCTGTGGGGCAAACCTATGTCAGATATGATGTCATGAACCGTAACTGCTGCAGGTGAAAGAGGGGTCCATAGCCAGTTTCCGTGGTAACTGGTAGGCACCTGCAGCTCGTTGACGCAGTACTGGATCTGTCCTTATCTGTGCATAGAGCACTTGGTGACAGACATATGTAGCTGTCCTGGCAAAGCCTCATCAGGGTTCATTTTACAGAAGGCAAGCTTTCTCTCCCTTTTCTAACAAGGCATTTTGACTCCTGTTGTGTTGAGCTCCACCCCTCATTTTATTTAGCTTGTATTTGTAAATACTGGGGATAACTTCTATCGTTTGAAACATTTCTTTCTGTTGTGTTACAATCTGCAGTGAATTTGCAGACTGGCCAAAATTTACATCTAGTTTCGCTGCTGCCTGAGGTTCTGTTTTGGTAGCTTGCTGCTTGCAAGGAGAAAGAAAACATCTTACTGGGCCACAAACTTGAAAAGTCATGGAAAGCCATTTGCTAAAGTCGTAAAGATTGGATGATGCACAAGATTTCAAAAAGATCAATTCTGCTCTGAAAGAGCAATTGTTCTTTGTATCACATGCAGTATATCAGGAAGGAGTTCGTTTGAGTGTGAGACCGGCTTCCCTAGCATTCTGCTTACCGCTCGTAGCTGCTAAAGTGTTAAACTACAATGGGTTTGTAATCAGATGCTGCGTATCCGCTCATTTTGTGGTATCTCGCTAAGCACCCTGAAGCTTTGGTCTACAATGCAGATATTGCTTGAGTGAGGAATGAGTGGTGATTGTCAAGATTATGGAGATGGAGATTAATTCTTGGTTTGAGATTATATCTGGAACTATTGTGCACAATTTGTGAGATTATTCTCCAGACCAGTAGTTTTAACACTCTTTGTGCTGCTCAACATTGAGATGTTTTGTTTCATGAAAAAGTTGTGAGCAAGACAGAGCATAATTAAAAATAAAACAACATGCTCCAGACTCCTGCGTGGTTTCTGGTAAACGTTTACAGCTAAACCTATCTTGCAGCACATTCCTTACACCTCTGCCAAAAGGATTTTAAAGTGCCAGAAGTAAGAGAAGAGAGGGATAATCAAGTTTTGTGTGCTTATATGAGGATGCCCAATATGCTTTAACCTGCTCCTTTTTTCCCCTCTGTTGTTAAGCATCAGCGACATTAAAGCTAGATAGCTGGAAGCAGTTTTATCACTTTGCAGCAGTGCCTGGCCATGTACCACAAGCGGGGCCTTCTGAAGCCAGGGAATGCTTGCAATTGCAGTTCAGGTTTTGTTCACTGGGACATCATGCCTGTAACCAATCAAGACTGGTGAGCTAACAAGTGAGAGGGACCTCCTGTTGTCTTCAGTGTTTTTTTTTACTTCACAGCTTCCAGAAGGAATGATTACTACAAAAAAACCCCAGCACAGCACTTAAGAAAGTGTCTGCAGAGAGTAGAAATCAAACTGGTCACTAGACAAACCATAAGCTTTCAAAGGCTTCTGATGTTTTTCCCAGAAAAAACAAAGGACATTTCTAGAAATGTGATAATAGGTATGATTTTTCTGAGGTGCTGATGTAGGGACATTCAATGTAAACAGTCCAGGAAAGAACAGAAGAAATGTCAGATTCACCTTTAAAACCAAAAAAATATTTTGATAACCTGATATTTCTCATACTGTTCTGAGCTTACACTGCTTCGTAAACGTCAGCTATCCAGAAGTATCCTTAAGGTTGTGGATATGTATTTGGATGATTTTAGGTCTAAAACTAAAACACATACCAAATGAGATCTTAGAAATTGAGTATGGTTGTTAATAGATACCTTTAAGCACAGGTTACAGTGTCTTCCCAACTGATAATTAACTGGTTAATTATAACCCATTTTTTTGCATACTTTCATCTGATACATTTTCAGGTGGCATATGGTGACGTTACCAGTGTTCAAGGTTAGGTGCTGTGTTGAGGCACATTTTAAGTGTTCATAAATAATATGTTCAAAGTAGAGAAGATGTCAATTCTCTGCAGAGTTTTGCAAAGATATATGTAAGTTTGGCAGTGTAAGGACACTTAAGACTGTCATCAGCACTTTCAGCAAACACTGATTTTATCAAAAGCCTAATTAATATAGCCATGGGCAAGCAGATTAGCCTCATCTAGGGGTTGCTTGCAGCTGTTGGATCACTTTCTCCTTTAAAGTCTTGCCAGTAGTGTCCAGGATACTACTACAAGGTGGATTTGGTTCCACTGAGGTCTGCGATTGCTTAATGCTCATTTCAGTGGGCATCTGCTGTGAGTGAAGGACAGGATTGCTGCTTTTATAGGCACAAATCTCTATTTTCTTCTAAGTTTTGATGTAATGGACATCACATCATCATACAGGATCAACAGTTACTTAGTATGCAAATCTGAAACTTCAGCTAAATGTCTTGAAAACATACAAGGACAGGTACAGGACTGTGCTACAGTTGGTATGTTTGACAGTCATGCCCATATTTTCACATGGTCAATACGTTCCGGGCGCTTGAGGTGCCTTTTTGATGCCCAGCATGACTTCAGAGGTTTATCTATACAGTAAGCTTCAAGAACGGAAGTGATACGTAGTATTTACAGAAATAGCAATTTTTGTATCTGATTGCTGTGTACAAAAGGTGGAAGATTCTAGTGCCAGTACATGAAGTACAAGTTTTTGGACAAAACAGTAAGACCAATGCATTGAGCATATATATACACATATGATACTCAATGTGCGTATACTTAATGTATGTAAACATACTCAGTGTACATATACGCTGAGTATAGATGATGTGATTTACCCTTTGTATGATGTAGCATCATTAAGTTTTGATGTTAATGGATTAGCTCTAAGTTTTGCGAAAGATGTACAAGGATATAACAATTTCTGTATGCCCTAAATTTGCTGGATATTAAATCACTACCAGGAAAAGGTCAGAAGACTAGAAGTGGATGGAACTCTGGAAGGGGACACAGTAGATTTGACTTTGTTCTTCACCTGGCTGCTGGTTGATCTTGGACAATTGGCTTTCTCTCTCCCTCTCTTTCACTTATTTAAATGCAGATGATTACTAACTCAGACCCCTTATAACAAAATAGTTTGAAATCTCCTGATAGGAATAACAGCTAATTCTCATCTAGAGTTACTATTTAGTGAAACGTCTGTACAGGGTGGTGGTAACAACGAGGCATAATTTTAGTTACTCCCAGATAAAACCCACACCCTTAACCATGACTTTGCTGTTCTGTTTCAGTATCTAGCATCTCACTGACTTGTTTTTAAGTCTCAGGACTGACCGGGTACTTTTTACTTCATTGAGCAAATAGATTGGGAAGAGACAGATCATTGTCTCTTCCCCCTTTTATATTCCCTTGTTCTGCCAGAGGTCATGATCCCAGAAAGGTAGATGATCATTAATATTTTTGTGGGCAATGCTCTTTACTAGCCATTTGGACTTTGAAGAAACTCTGTATTGAAGAACAGCTACAGGCCACTACACAACACAGAGAAGATACAGAGAAGATAGAAGTCCTTCTTGGAGCAGTATAGTGCTGTGGAGTACAACCTGGCACTCCCAGCTGATAGATAAGCTGCTGGCTTTCTCCTTGCACTCCCAGGAGACATTTTTGGAAATGCCAGGAAAGAACCATGACCGCACAGTTTCTTACCTCCTGTCCCAAGGGAATCTTCACAGGAGGTGAAATGCCAGTCGATTTCTTTGAGAAAGTTGTTGCTGTCAACATTACTGCCCTCTTCATTTGTAGATACAAACGTGCTTCCATAATTTCAAAAGCTTTCATTGTAGAGGAAATGCTAACAACCCTGGCTTACCTCATTTTTCATGCTTCCTTTTGTTTTGCTGTGATAACCCTGTAGTCGGTATGAAAAGCAGGCACGAGAATCATGGATTTGCTGCAAGAATAACTTCAGAAATTTGTTGGTATTAGCAACAGCAGTATGTGTGTGAACATGTTACGTGATATGAGGGGAGAATCCCAATTAAAATCTTGTTGCTAAACAAGTGACAGAGACCTTACAAACAATGTGAGACTCCAGGCCAACTATGGTTATATTAATAATAAATCAGATCTGGTCTGTGACGTTTTCTTAAATGGTATAGTATAGACATAGGATAATATTTTTACCAATGGTCATTTTTCTAACTTTAATTTAGTTTGTGTTTTTTTCTTCTTTTTTTCCCAGCATTTACTAAATGCTGTCAAGAAACTGGTCTTCTTATGGTGGTGAAGTGTCGGCAAGAGAACACAGCACTGAAAGACTGTCTAGTTGGCTAGTAAGTCCCTCACAAGTTTTTGTTGGTTTTTTTTTTGTTGCATGGCCTATACTAATCTAGAAATAAGTAGAAATCTTAAGTCTTCTCAAAAGGCTTATGCAAGGTTAGTGACTTTGACGTACTTTCTGAACATTGTATCTTCGCTTTATTAAAAAACATGTTGGTCAGGGCCCTACCTGACAAGATTTTATTTCCTTAATAAAGCTGTCCTATGACTATAAAGACTCCATTCTTGATTTAAATGGTGACAGATCTAGATTTTCAGCCCAGACAACACATAGCTTTGTATTCACTATGCTGAATGACATATGGGGGGGTGGGGGTGAGCAGTAGAAGCACCTTCATACCCTGTTAGTGAGACAGGATAAGTTTGTTTTGATTTTGCTGCTTGAACTGTTTTTTAAGATTTAGTCTTTGTCCTGAAAGTGTCCTGCTGTTGTGAACAGCAATAGCAGCAGCAATGGGAAACTGTTCGATATTAGAGAGGTCAACTTGATGCCATGGTGGATTTGAAACGTCTCTTTTGGAAGTCCTAATTTATCCCCAGTGCCATCAGGCTGAAGTGTTAGATTCTTGAATTTCACAGGGTGAGGGTTGGGGATTTTTTGAGTTTGACTCGGCTGGTTTGCTTTTTTGGTGCAATGTGTGTCCTGCCCTGTTAAACCAGAGATTAAGATTAAATGCCTTTGAACTAGTCACAGTTATTCTCAAGTATTGAGAATGTGCAGCCAGGCAAAAGTTCAGGCCTAACTGCAGTGAGAACTTGCTGGAGTTAGTTTTATTTGTACCTTTGCCTTTTTTAAAAATCAAAACAAAACAACACACAAACAAAATTCTACTGAAAAAAAAAAGTTTAGTGCTTGAATAATTAAAGTTATGAGCCAAATGAATTCAATTTAATGATCAAGGACCTACATGTTTATTGTTTGAGACACACACTTGAACCTGTTCCCAGTAGTTGCTTGGGTGCATAAAAAAACGTGAAACTAATAGCAAATAACAACAAATTATTTAGCTGAACTGAAATACCAAATGTCTTTCCCTTTTTCTACCTTTCCTCTTCATGGCTTCACTGTAGAGGCTTGAAAAGGACTGTGCCTCAAGAGAGAGCAGTATCACAAGAAGGCAAACCAACTCAGTATTTAGAGTTTACAAGATAACTTTGTAACACTTATGTACTTCATAAAAAAAGGTATTTTATTATCGAAGGCAGGCAAATTTTCTTTGGGTGTGAAAGGAGGATCAGTTATGAGTGTTATTGATGCAATATCTGTTCCATATTCCAAGATGAAAAACAGTATTATGTATTTGTCTGTCTTGTAGCTATTCTGATCCATTGTTCTATGAAGAATGCAAAACAGAATATTTGAAGCAAAGAGAAGAATACAGAGCAACTGGAATTAAGAAGAAAAGACAGAAGCTTACTTCAAATGTGTAGTTAAAACTTAAAGTGAACTTTTCAAATTTTATATCCAACTTTGATTTGACTTGATTTAAACAGACTTAAATCATCTGTACCCCTCTGTGTGGACTATAACTGAAATACACAAAATGATATGAATGGAGAATAAAATAATCTCTGAACTTAAATGTCAGGTTTTTAATTTGCTGTAGTTACAGTTACAACGCATGCTGTCACACTTTGCAAGGAAAGTTGCAAAGGTCTGTTCTTCCATCTGGACCTGAGATTTTGTTACCAATTTACAAATGGTCTTTTGGAATTTAAAGCTTGCGTCTAGTTATGTGTGGCCAGCTACATAAAAACTTAAGGGTGAATAATTTAAGTTGTATTAACTGATCACAAATTGGGTATACATTAGAATTGGTCTATTTGTCATCTGGAGCTGAGGGTGTATGGAGATGCTTTTGATGCTCTTACTAGAAGAGAAGAGTGGCAAATGCAGAAGGGAACAGCTTCTTGGACCAATTTGATTTATCTTTTTCTTGAAAATGTTGAGTCATAGGAGAGCCTGATAGTACTTTTGCCTACATTGTGACTCATTTTCAAGTCTACATTGCCAGAAGAGATGGATGCCCCATGCCCCTGTGTGGCCCAGACTGACTGTTTTCACTCCAGAGGAAAATGTCATCTGATCTAGACCTTCCCTGAGAATGGGGAGAAGGCATGCTGAAGGCAAAATCATTGAGACCAGTAGCCTCCCCTGCTTTCTTCTTTCAGAATGAAGATGATTGTATAAGCTTCCACACTTAAGGATTGAGCGAGTGACCACACTTGCAAAATTATTACGGATAGAGGTGAGCAAACAACTAAGCTAGGTATGTAAGATGCAGGTCACTTCTTGCAGAAAGGGAAGTATAAGCAAGTCCCTATTTAAAAAGGGGCATCCAAAGGATCTTTTGTACACTGATACTTGAAGCTGCTTAATTGTGGAACTCTCAAATGCGTAAATGGTTTCACTAGAGAGAGTCTGTAGAACTTTATATTACTATTTTGGAATATCTTTTGAAGCATTTTGAAATAAAAAATTTCTTTACAAGTAAGGAAAGGCTGCACTTGGAAACCTTACTCGCATGGTAACCTCAATGCCCTGATTTAAAAAAAAAAAAAATTGTTTTAGTAGTAGGATTTGTTACTTTTCTATCAGGAGATGCAAAATTTTACTTATTTGAGTACTGTTTCACCACAAAACCAGTACTGCTTTAAAGCAATTCAAGTAGGAAATTCAAATCAGACTTTGAGACACTTATATGTGAAAGTACTTAAGTTAATGTTGCAGGTTAGTCCTTGCCCTTTATTCTGTGCCTTTTAGTGGAATAATCAATAATATTGTTGCTTCTGCTATTAGCAGATTGGCTGGAGGACTAGGGAGTGCTTGTGAATGAAAACCTGAAAAGATGTGTAGCATTTTGCCTTGTTAGGCAAACTTAAGTAAGTGGCATTCAGCTCTAAACTAACCACCTTAAAGTAGCTTCTGTGGACTAAAGTTTCCTACACATGTACTTGCTCTTGGCTCCTCAGTTCAAGCATTTTGGAAAAAAATATTCCGAATCAGTTAGTGGAAAATTAGTTGCTTCCCTGTATGTATTTAAAAAACAGGAAACTTAAGGTAGATGGTGAAATGTTTTTTTAAGGACAGCGACTGTTCTGTTTTCCCACTATGAAAATCTGCTACGTTTTCAACCTCTGGAAAGCAGGCCTGGGTGTTCGAAATTGTTGTCAAAAGCACTTCCAAAGAGGATTTGGGCTGGAGCGAGCATTCTCTCGGGGGCAAGTGCCATGTGCTGCCAGTGGTACGTGCCTGCACCGAGGGCGCACCTGGGCCTGACTCCGGTTCACACCGTAGCCGGTGAACAGAGACAACAGCACCAGCATGGGTTTCCCCTTTTCTGGCTTAGCAGAAAGTATGTTCAGCAGGTGAGCGGGAACCCCAGTGCATTGACCAGTACTGCTGGGAAGGAATTAACACCTGTGGTGGAACAAAGCCCAGTTTAACCTGCAGGTATTACTGCCCCACCATTCTATACATGCTGTATGTGAAGGACTGTGACACTTCTGCACTGATAACCAAGCTCTACTGTCAAGCCTGAAATTGCATGTACTGAGTTACACTGTCAGCCATTCATTTCTCTTTACCTGCACTGGTGTGTGTGTAAGGAAGAACTGGGTTATTGCAGCTCCTCCTGTCTTTACTGTGGCACATGCTTAGAGCTGGGCTTTCCCCTTGGCTCCGGCATCAACTTCCTCTGCAGTATGTACACCCACGGCCGTAATGCGATGTTTCCTAGTTTTGAATTCTTGATTTCACACCTTTCACTTTCTTAATGTCTTGTGCAGTATCCTGTATTTTAATTGCATTTACATCTTTTATTTAAAGTTTAAACAAAAGAATGAGTACTGTGAAGTGACAAACTCTCATACTAGTAACTTGCTTTCGATTTTGTTTTTATCTCGGCTGCAACCTCTCCTTCCTACTCAGGTTAACAGGAAGCAGCCCTCGATTCTAATCTGTGTGAAAAAACATCAATAGTCAACGAAGCCTTCAACTGTGCTTCAGCAGTGAACGGGAAGCTTTTTTGCTACATGTTGAGTATTTTTTAAAAAGCACTACTTCTATTTTGTCACAGGTTACTTGTGAATGATGAGAGGGTTTAGCTCCGGCCCTCCCCCCCTCAGCCCTTTGACCTCCCAACACAACAGAACAAACACCTTCACTGCCTGTACTTACTGAGAGTAGCCAGCTGTGGGTGATGAGGAAGAGAGCTGACATCAGTGCAGATGTGCAGTACTTCAGCTAGCCATCTCCATCTAACCCGGGGACTGCAACTCTTAACGGTCCCTAGATTTTTTTGTTTGTTTTTTCGTTTTGAAATCATTTCTGCAGGATTCTTATACATTATTATTCTGTGTAGGAGTAGACAATTAAGTGGAATTAGTCTAGGCGTGTCTCCAGTGTTTTCAAGTTAGCCTATTAATATAAAAAGGTTACGTAAGTGCAGAGGCAGGGACTAACTCAAGTAGGTCAGCCAGAGTCTGAAGCGTGGCAATGCCGCTAGCCCATCATAGTTAACATTTGTAAAGTGCCTGATGTTTTCTAACACGTGGCCTTCTTAAAAATTAAGGTGGCATTACCAAGTGTTTACAGTTCCAGTTTTAACACTGCCTGTTACAGCTAGAAACTCTCACAAAGTTGCGCGGCTTTCTCTGTAGCCGTACAACTAGCCTGCAGCCCATGCTTACCTCCTTTAACGGGAACCATGTGCTCAGCCAGTTTAAAACCATCCACCATGTGGCACTATTGATTGACATTGATGCAATAAGGTCTTAAAAGTAGAAGACTGATTTGTCACCTAGCTCCCTCACAGGGTGCAGCAAGGCATCTGTCAGTTTCTGCAGCAAAGGGCCCTATCTTTGCCTCTTCGTAGCACTTGGGAGGACTTGGCAAGCACCCAAGACACCCACATTTTTCGCTTGAGACTACATGCTTCCAGTGTAATAAAGCCACCTTCAAACTCCTGAGACAAGACCCATACAAATGTGAGATCTAAAAGGCAGGAGGAAGAAGTTGTCGTATACTTATTTAAAAAGTTTGCCTTCATAGAGTAAAATGAAGCCTCGGAGGATAGATGAGTGGCAGTTTGTAACGCACAGGGTTTTCAGAGGAGTGTAACTACCTACTCTTACAGTCTGAGACACCACCCAGCAATAAATTTGTAAGCCGGAAACCCATTCTGCATCATACTCAGTACAGCCATACTCCTCAAGTAATTCCTCCAAGTAACTCCTGTGTTCTCTGTTTACTCTGCTGGTCCAAAAATGGTCAAGTACAGTTGAAATGTAAGTGTTCCATCTAGTTAAAAATCAGTTCAGTAACAGTAAGCACCTGGTTATTTCTTTCATGCTTCTCTCCTAGATCAAACATCCATACTCAGAATACCATCATCTTACCGCTTAATTACTGTATCTTGATGTTTGAACCACTTTGTCTCTTCCATCTTAAAATATAATGAAATGAATTCTGCTGGACACTGATCTCAGTTCACATCACATTTACTACAGAGAACAGTTTTGGTTTGTTTTGGTTTTAAATGGTTCAACTGCAACTCGATTAAAATTAGCGTTTACCTTTAGTGCTGATAATAAGAAAAAAACTGAAATACTTTTGTCCACTGTCCTATGTTCATACAACTGCAAGTAGCACACCACTCCCCCTACAGAAAGGGCTAAAAGCCTGACCCCTAAAAGAACAAAACAATAAAAAAAACCCCAACCCCCCCACATGCCTTTTTGTATTCAAACTACACAAAGCAACAGGGAAATGCCTTACCGCTCAGCGACCGCTGTTCTTCACAGGCCCTGTCTGAAGATCAGAAGAAAATGCAGGCAGGTCAGTCAGGTACCGGAGCTTTTCACTCTTCCTTTACCAGGCCACAGCATCAGTAAAAATACAGTTGTGGGACCGCAGCAGTCTCAAGGTCTACTGCAATTTGGTTTTGAAATAAAATCAAATCTGCTTTACATCACCAGTACAGTTTGTATTATACTTATGTGGAGCTATGTTAAATTACTTGGAGTGGGTCTTCCTGTAACTCCAGCATATGTCTAGTACTGCTCTCATCTTTTTCCAGCTGTAAAAATTTGACAGTGCATCACAGCTAATTTGGCAGTTTGCTTTCTTCAATGTGGCTAGTTCACGTAAGAGGAAAACTAAACAGTTGTAAACCCACAAAACTGGCAGGGAGACTTAAAATGATCAGATTTAAAAAATATTTAAAATGAACCAAACAGTGGAAGTTGACATATGAAGGTTAGTCCAACTCTCCAAATACATATTCATCAGCTTGCCATATGCTCACTTAAATGAGCAAAGCAACAACCTCCTCCTGCCCCAAAAGCTGTGTTCCATTTCTGTTATACGGAATTAGTGCTTGCTTAAATTAAAAATTGTCAAATCAGTGGGTTGGGTGAAGTTTTAAAATGTTCAAAGTTTGCATTCAAGGTAAGGTTTTTTTGGTGTCACTTAACATACTTGTAGGACTTTGGTTCTTCCTTTATGCAATTTTATGGTTTTATAGAACAAACACACACGTGCACACAAAACACCAGAACCCCTTTACTACAGCTACTTCTGCATGTAATTTGCTGTCACTGTGATGAAAAGCTTTCACATCTGAAAATGGAAAGCACTGTGAGCCACTAGTGGCATGGATTTAAATGACTTTTCCATCTTGAGTCAAAATTTGATTGTATACTCTGGACCAACAGATGCTTCACAAGCCAGCTAGCTCCCAAGTGACTTCAAAGCTGGGGACTTCCTTTTCAAATGTTCTGGCTTGGCCACAGCAATGAGTGATTGGATTGGAAATGCTGCCTACAGCAAGCTCTCCGTCATCCTGCCCTCCTCTCTCTGGTTTCAGCAGTTCTTCTGAAGTCCCTCGGGGCAAACATCCCTGCTCCCTTCTCCAGCAGAAGATAAGCCAAGAGTCAAAGGCAAAGCCCAGAAATTCTCAGGTACCTCACAGAGAAGCTTAATTTTAAGTTTTCCTGTCACACAGGACAGGGCAGGCTGACCAGGAACCTTCTGACACAAGTAGTCAAACCACAGGAACAGGCTGTAGCTTCAGGTAACTTAAGTTCTTCAGGTTTCAACATCCAAAAGAATACTTTTCCCAGAATACATTGAAGCAGTCTACTGCAGATGTTTGGTTTTTTTCCTGAATGGAGGAGGATGAACCTCAAACTTAATTGTTTGTATTTTGAATCACATTTATAAACAAACAAGAAATTAAAACTGAGTAAAAAATTTTGTGCCAGATACAGAAAGGAGATTTGTAAGTGAAACCCATTTCAAACAAAAATAAATTTATTTAAAATCTTACACAGTAGAATTCCTTCATTGCACAAATCAAAGTATTAATCATGTTGATGTCTGTTGGCTAATTTGTTACTTTATAAAAAACCCCTCTGTAATGTTGAGGTGGGAAACCCCCAAAAGTAAGCTACATTAGAACTAGATACCATATAGCTTATGCAGCCACATGAGAAATGTTTTCTGCTGCTTTGTTATTACACAGGTAGTTGGTTCTATCAGCTAAAGCCTAGTGACTTGGATTTGTTTTATGCATATTGGGTTTTGTTCTATTACTTTCCAAGAGATTGTACTCCCCTGAGTCAGCTGTGTTCATTGGTCAGAATAAATTCCAGCATCTGACACCATTTCCATTAATCACAGACAAGCCAGTATACATGAGCAAGATAATAGAAAGATAAAAACAATATCTGGTGAATGGGAAACATTATTTATGTATGCTGTTCGCTAATACAGTAGAAGGTAGCTGGAAGGCATTTTTTCAACTTTGATAGACAAAACTGAAAGGAGAGGAAGGGCATCATATGAAGTACTTACTCCACAGGGAAGAAAGTGTCTGGAACCACACAAATCACGTAGCACCTTGGTAACACTTTTACAGTCCATCATTACCATGGCTATGCTAGAGTCATAGCTTCCCCATGTATTTGCAAGCAATTTTAAGATAATTTGCTAAACAGCTGTGAAATTAATTTTTATTACACTGATCTTAAACTGGACCTGTGAAGTTGAATACTTCATCCACTCACCCACACATCTGTAAATAACACAGTATTAAGTGTCTTCCCACCTGTTACAAGTTAGGTGTCATGGATCTAAAATACAAAGCATTTTTCTTCAGTGTATTGAGCAGTCAAGGCATTTCACTTAACCCTGTTGTATTAAGCCAGATATGAAGCAGAGCAGTTTAAAAAAAAAAAAAAACAAAACGTAAGTTGTATTTGTCCAAAAACAGTTCTTGGCCCTAAAAGAAAAAAAAAAAAGTCATACTCGGACACCCATAGTCTATAAAGCAGGCAGTTGCAATTCAAATAACTCTAGTTCCCACTGGCATACTAGAGATACCACAAAAATACTTCTTATATATATCAATAATGCTACAACACCTAGTCCGATTAAATTAAGGCTTTGTTTCTTTAAAAAAATGTTAGTAGCCTTCACCACCACACAAATAAAAAGTTGAGGTTCTGGTGCTGTGCAAAGGAGGCACAATAAGGATAACTGCACTCTGAACAGGATGATTCTGTGGCAGGCACCACTGTGCGCAGAATTAAGTCGGTTTCCTACAGCACGAACAGAGGGAAACAAGCTGAACATCCAGGATTTGCAGTGTTCAGCAGCATTACTTATGATCCTTTATAATTCACAATAAGGCCCAAAATGGCACAATCTAAACAGGATAGCCTAGAAGTGATTTTTCTCTTGCCGCTATCTAATATAAATCAAGATTTTGACAAAAAAAAAAATCTCACCTTTCTTAGGTATTACATAAAAATGCATTTCTAAGCCAGAGGAATCAAAGTTAATTGAAAGGAGGAAGGAAGATATAATCCAATTCTTCATTTTATGTCTTACTCTGGAAAAAAAAACACTGTCAAAAAATAAGCTCAGAGCTGGTACAAGTTTTAACACAGGATACCAAGTATTTTCTTGGTTACATACAGATAGCAAACAAATACAGAACTGGATTATTTTGTTTTATTCCAAGAACTCACTTTTCAATGTAATCTTTTGCAAATGTGTGCCATTTGCAGTACAAGACTATCTAGGCCCCATGCTAGATTTCTTTATATTTACATTATACCAGCACAGCTTTAACTTCAAGGAACTTGCTCCTGATTTACAGCTGCGGAAGACTACACTTTCTGTTTCGGAACTAGAATTAAAGAACATTTCAGGCAATCTGTTTTCTCTCTTTAAAAGTTCAAGCGTTAAGGTGCCTATTCAGAACCACTCTAAAAATGCCTCAGTTCATTCTCAAAATTAACTCTTGTACAGACAGTTTTGATTACACTGATCCATGTAATCTGCTGGACAGTTTAACAAAGTTGTTTTATTTCTCATTTCCCAAAACACATTCTCATTAGGCTTTGGAGGACTTGGGAACACCCAGGAATTATCTTCCAGAGAGCTCTTTCCATAAGAATGGTGTTCCTGAAACGTTTTGCCATCAACTGGAATGGGTCTCTCATCTGTCCATGCTTGTAGAGTCACCCTTTCAGATGGGGTTTTTACATCTCTCGGCAGAGGGGGAGACACATCATTGCAGAGTATTTCATCTTTTTGTGAGAGTTTTTTATAGACTACCCCAGATGTCAAATTCAGCTTTGAAATATTCAAGTCAACACATTGTACTGGTACAGTACAGGCAGCTGAAGAAAGAAGATAAAAAAGATTTTTAAATGATATTATTAATGCATTTTTCATATACTCCAAATGTACTACAGTATAGCAGGGATGTGAAAGCCAGTATTTTCAAGCTGCAAATTTTCAGACTGTATTTTACTTCAGTAACTACTTAAAAGTTACAAACTACACGTACTAACCTCCTCAGTCTCATTTTGCAAGATGAACCAGAGATGCTGAAATCTCAATGTCTAAAATACGCCTAACACCAACAAAACCTCCCAGCTCCCACTTGAACAGATAAATTGATGAATCTTTTTGACAAGACTGGAATGAATGCTGAAACAGAGAGGATTTTCATGCACTCGGAGAAATCAACCAGATTCAGAACACTGCTTACACAGAGCATGCTTCTTCCTACTCTACTGATTCTTTCTCAGGCTGCCAAGAACCTGAATTCTCACTGTCCATGAAGCAGTAAGAGGGAAACACACGGTGTTCATGGGTTCTCTGTGCTCCACTATTGTCTGACTTCTGAAACTAAAGTGACAGACTGCAATGTTCAGCCATCTGAAATTCCAGGGGAGTTTTAAACCATGCTAGGAATGGGAGGATTTTGGAACGGAACAGCATCTACCCGAAACAAAAAAGCTGCACCTTCAACGCACATCTGAACAGATGGTCAATAATTTATATAAACATGTAGTGATTCCTGCAGTTACAGAAACTCACGTCTTACAGGTAGTTTTCTAGAACAGCTATGAATCTTGAGTACAAACTGTGATTGGCAACTTTAGTTCTTAAGGGACAGAAAGAGGAGCCAGTATCTCAGTCAAAGAATATGATGTCCATTTGTCACTAAAAATTAAAAGGCAGTACCCAATTTGCAAATGTCAGCCAAAAGCACTTTCCAATAGCACAGGCATCATATCTGAAAAACATGCTAAGGAATTGGATTTGGCCTCTTTGAGCTGACAGGTATAAAAAGCAATTTGAGATCTACAGACCTTTAAAGTTCAAGAAAAATGGAATACACTGAAAATGGTTTGAAAATGTAAAAAAACCAACTCCATAAGCGGACACAACGTTTGTTGAAAATGCCTCCATACATGAATGACAGCTAAGTAGAATCCTCTTGTTAACTGGTATTGTTAACATCATACACACAGCAATGAATACATTGTGTTCTACAGACTTCACGCACCTCTTGTAGAGGCAACTAGTTTGTAAATGGTAAAATAGCTAGTACTACAGGTATAGAAAGTTTTAAGTCAATTCTACCCTTATTTTGCACAAGCCAAGATTTTTCTATAAATACAAGCACAGATCCATCTGCATTGCATTTGTAAGAGTGGCTGACAAGCAAGGTAAACAAACAAAAAAAATTAGTGTTCATTTCTGCTGAACCTGTCTCCTCTTAACATACTTCTGAAAAATTTACTGAAAAAAGCCTAGAGAGCAAAAGGCAAAAATCCTTTGTTTCCAAATCAATCAATAACGCCTTTTATAGCTGTGGATGTACAACTGCATTAGCAACCTCAGAAAATCAGACTGTTCACCAGCTAGAAGAGAAAAATCAGTACTTGTGGAGTGGCAAGACAGATCTAACCCCAAATCAAAAACAACAACAGAAAGATATTCCATGATCACATCAAAGCTTGACAGACTTAAGGATTAAAACCTCATTCACTTCCCAGTTTCTCTGCTGAAGTTATTTGACAAACATGTCTCAGAACTGTAGGAAACACAGACTCACCTGGTAACATGTGACCAAGTCTACAAAATGTGTTGATAGTTTATCAGCCAAGTACCAGAGAGTGATTAATCACTGCTGGCCATGGACAAAGGCCGTAATTGACCTGGAGGTGAATCCTATCACTACCTCACTGAGCCCATCAAAGCTGTTTAGAAACAAAATGTCTTGATCTTGTAATGGACTGGGACATCAGAGACTGTCACCAATATATTGTAACTGAGTTCACAGTGTTTCACTGGCATCTTCTGTATTCTGAACACAGTAAATACCACAATTGGAGTGAGCAGAAAACAAAGGAAATAAACACTGCAATAAACAGTCAGACTGATAGTCTGGCCCCACCAGAGTAAGAATGCTCTCTTGTAAAGCATTTGGCTTGAGAGAAACATACGCATGAAATAGAAGAACTATCTCATGAACTGCTCAAAGAAATTATACATACTTTATGTGGAAATTGTTTTCCCCTTTATTATTTGCAATGTAGCAGCAGAAATAAGGCAGTTTTGCAGCCCCAGCATTTTGACATTCAGAAAATGTCATCTTGCATAGTATTTTGCTAGGAAAGACAACTTTTCTGAATGCCAACATGAAGAAATACACAACCATAATGGAATTTCAGTCTATTAAAGTCTGACTTTAAAATGTTGCCAAATTAATACTTTATATATTATATACTGGGAAAATAATACTGCGTTTGCAAAAAAGATTTCCCCCCCCCAATATGAAGTTGTTCTGGTAAAAGGTCAAATACAAGTAAACTTAACACCTCAGCCTTGTGCACATAAGCAACACTTGACTGAGAAAAAAGCCACAAGGGGAACAGAATACAGTACTGAAGAAAAAACACATCAGCAACACCTTTATGTGTGAAGTTGACCAGTATGAGACAGAAGCAAAAGCAGAAAATGGGTAGGCTGAAACCATAATATAGTCTAGCTTATCAACTTCAATTGATGAGATTCTGATAAGATATGATAGCTAGTTTCTTTCTAAAATGGTACAGCTTGAATCAACGGTTTGTATTTGTAAGGTCTGTTACTGCAAACACTGACTTGCCTTTCTTGGTCGCTGTTGAGTTTGTTTTCAGTTTTCGTAGGACCTCAGCTTGCATGTCAGTCACTAGACGCAAATTAGACATTTCTCTCTTCAGTTCCCAATATGCTTGTTGCACACTTTCAAAACAAAGATTTTTTAGAAGTTAATTGCCATCTCTAAAGCACCCTCATGCCTATTAACATGCTTATCAAGCACTAACTGTTAATAAATCATTTTTGCCTGACAAATACTGCCAATTTTACTAGAGTACCACAATTCAAAATGAATTGAGCAGTACTGATAATTACCTTAAACTGATGGACCTTTGTATATTTTATTTGACTCTTGTGTATTACAATACAAAATGTATCATCTAGTATGTTGATATAGAATACTAATAATTTCAAGTTTCCCAAAGGTAAAGAAATATGAAGCATATTCTCCAATTTCATTATTTGAAGCTAACCATCTTACCATAAAATTAGTAATCTCCAAGGAATACTTTTTAAAAATATATTAAATGGACACTAGATTACAAACAAGGTAGACTACTAACTTTCAATGGCTTCTGATAAAAACGACCACACACACCATCATATGTTATGATCCTAGTATGTTAATTGATCATAGTTTTAAATATTCCATCAAAATCAGTATTTGGGTCTTTACACTATTCATTTTGCTACAGTGAATTCAGACTAGATATTCAAGATCCAAACTTAGCACCCACAGACCAGACTAAAATATAAAACATACTGTTTCATACTCAAGTCATCTAATTTATGTTAATACACTGCCTTATCAGACAGTTTAAAAAATAGCAACCCAATTCATTCTCTGATAAGACAGCATAATATGAGAACCATATTTAGCAACAGCAGCACTGTTCCAACGTGGAAGTTTCTGGTTATTAGCTGGTAAGAAAAACCAAGAACAAAAAAACCCCAGAGAAGTCAGCATCACCATATGTTTCTTGGTAAAATTTCGAGCAAATGCTCACTGAACACCACATTTATGTTGATTAATAATTAACTTAGTGTTCAAAGACATAAGGCTGCAGTTACTTCAACTTAAACATGAAATCAATGATTTAATTTTTTTTTTAATGCTTAACATTCTACCAAAACACATTTATTGAGAACAAGTATCATGGATGGACATTTTCAGAATATTTCTTTCTACCTCACTATATTCACCTAAAAGGCATTTACTTTAAAACAGTTCTGTACCTCAAACTATTGTTGAGATGACTTAAGAACTATTAAGCTATATAACAACTGTATTTTCAAACATGCATATATACAGATTTCTATCCCTCTAAAATACCAATTCAGGATCACTCTTGCATGAAATGTATCAGACATTAATGTGTTCAAAAGGACCCTGAGAAGCAGCTATTATTCTGTTCTGCAAGTTAACACTAAAAGAGTTTCCTCAAAACACAGAAATTAAACTTTCTTCTATGCACAGAAATATTTCCCCAGAATACAAAAATTCAGATGCAAAAACTCCGTTAAAGAACAGAGGAAGCTGATAGTTTAATAGGTAATGTATTAGGTGTCAGCAATTCTGATACATAGAAAGTTAAAATTTTCAGAACTGGTATTTCAAGAAGTTCAGCTAAACCTGTGGCCTTTTTGCTGCAGAATCCATGTGGTTCTTTGAACTTTTAAGAGATGACAATTTTAAAATTAAGTTGATGTGACAACCACACTTCATTTATTCATGTGTTTTGGTCTCAAAAACAAGATCAAATAAACTTTACTTATATCAGAACAGAACTGTCCAATAGTTAAATATATTTATGTGTATAGAAGTGGTAAATAGAAGAACAGCTCAGTGTCTGCTACCAACCAGAAGGAAAGCGCTTAGATAAATTTTGTAACATGCATTTAGTGCTTTTAAAAGCATCTTGCAAAGGGATGCAGGTACCAGAATTCCACTTAATTCATGCATAACATATTTTAACTGTTTTTCTTGATACTGTCCTAGAATCCCATTGCAAAGCCTCATTTTCAAGGAATTTGCAATTGAAAAACCAAGGATTCCACACGCATTCCACAAGTTTATCCTATACTGCTTTCTAACATGTAATATAAACCTTGAATATCATAGCCTATCTAAATCTACACCAAAGTAGATTTGCAAACCAAGAATTTAAAGTCAGATTTGCAGGCTGCTGACAAATGTGAAATAATTACTTTCCAAAAAGTTAACTAACTGCAAATGCCTCCATCTCCCATAAACAGCAGGATTGCTTGCTACAACAACTGTTTCACATAAGAGGTTTTTCAAGTGTTTGTCCACAGATTTTTGGATAGGCTTACATATTCAGTACACATTACACATTCATTATTTATGTCATATTGCAATAAACACTAAACTGTACATATGCTAATTCAGATGGTTGCCACCTGAACGTCACTTTGTGGAATAAATCTGCTCTGGAAGATCAAAGAGATAACTGCTTTACCTTGAGATAACACCTCTTTTCAGGCGTGCAAGACTGACTATGAAGCTCCAGCAGAAACCACAAGAAAAAGTGTTAGCTACTGTCCTGGGTTCAGCTGGGACAGAGTTAATTTTTACAGGAGCCTGGGAGGTGGGGGGGCATAGCTGGGGCAGCTGACCTGAACTAGCCAAGGAGCTATTCCACACCATGTGCCATCATGCTCAGTATATATATGGGGAGCGGGCCGGGGGGTGGTCTGGACTTTCGGTGGGGGAAGTGGCGGAGTGTCAGGTCCCGGGTGGTGAGCAGTTGCACTGTGCATCACTCCTTTTGTATACTCTTTCATTAGTACCGTCGTTGTTGTTGTAATTTCTTTGTGTTGTCCCGGTAAACTGCCTTTACCTCAACCCTCGAGGTTCCAGGTTTTTTTTCCTCTTCTCTCCTCCGTCTCCCCCCTATCCCACCGGAGGGGAGCGGGAGGAGTGAGCGAGCGGCCGCATGGTCCTTTGTTACCGGCTGGGCGGAAACCACGACAGCTACCTAGCTATCCGGTCAAGGTGAAGGGTGAAAGTGTAATCTGTGTATAGTGTGTATAATATTATCATTACACCAGAGAACATATGAAAAGAAATATCTGTGCTGTTCTCTTTCAGTGACTCATTTCCTTTCCCATCTCTTCAATAGCCAAGGTATTACGCTAAACAATCTGTCGTTATGAAGGACCACTCTTCCCTCTTGTGGAAAATCGTGTAAGTACACCAGTAGGCATAACGGTGTAAGAGTTGCAGTAGTATTTCATTTCTGCAACACAGAACGTTTGGGAACCTTCATGCATTCGTGAATTGTTCTGTTGCATAAAGAACTAAAAGATATATATACTTTATAATATGGCACACATACTCAAGACAGGATAATATAGGAATTTAGATCCTTAGATTTACCACAATTATTATTTGAATGGCTACAAAATGAAAACAAATGCTTTCTGATATGTTAGCATTTTTCTGGAAAATTGCTATTTCTTTTTTAACAGGTCACACGATGGCTCCTCCATATTAAACAAAAAAATCCTTTACAATGTCTTCTAGTAGAAATATTATTGTACTGCACTAAATAAGAATGTATGTTCCAACGCTAAGCAAGAGATTTGAAGCCATCACCTATGCAAATACAGCAACCTCCCCATACACAAAATGAAGACATTCTATAGCTGGGATAAGACTTGGAAATGTATTTACCACCTCCTCAAGTCAACTAATTATTAAAAACCTGATTTTTGAATACAAGATAATTTAACTTTCATTTTCTGTACAACAATCTGAAGATGTAAATATTTTCTTATCATCATCACCCTGGACTACCAACATAACAAAGGAAAAAAAAATTACAATGCTCTTGCTAAATTAGTATACCTAGACTTGAAATTAGATTATACAATTTGAAATAACACATTTGAACACGCTGCAAGAGTATTTACTTGTTCAAATAACTGTCCCTCAGTAAACTAAAAATAAACATGAAAGCCACTTGATTTTCATACCTCTGGATGTCTTGCCTTTGAAGGAGGTCTCCACTGAATGGATTTTCGTCTTGAGCGTGGTCCTGGCATAACAGAGTGAGGGGAAGACAAAGAAGGAATGAACATATGATTTCAGATCTTCTATCTGAAAATACATCAGTGAAACTACAAGTTCGCTAATACTGAAATTCAGAAGTAAAGTAGTCTTCATTTGTGTTGGCTGCAGTGGTTTTCAAAATGGACATAAAGACTTCTACTAAGAATTTCCACTTAAAAATGTTTAAATTACCTACTTATATGAAAGCATTGCTCAGCCACCACCATACTCTCTCCTCTCTCTCTCTTTTTTTTTTTAAATAAACAGCTGAGCTCTTGGAATTTGTGATTCTTTAAAATGCAAAAATTGAGAAAGGCTTTTGGCTTCCATTAAAAAAAAAAAAAGTAATGAGTCTTCTCTTGTTATTTCCCTGTCTCAGTATATAAAGACCCTTAATATAAAGAAAAACTTTTTCAGTATAGATTTACTTCCACAAGTTACTTTTATGATAGAACATAATTTATCTCTTGATTCTGAAAGACTGCTTTAAACTGTGCATACAAGCAGGCTTGCTGAAGTTAACAAGACTGTTTAACAAATCAAACATTGGGCTTGCTTCATTAGTCATGTTTCTATTAGATCTTCACCTGTAATGAGTTCCCATTCATATCCCTTCTTTTCATGTTCCTTTCCTCCTACCATTCCCTCTAGCCAAAGCTCTTATGAATTTGATATCTGTTACCGTGGCTTCATGATGGCCTATACACATTTCAAGCAACTTGTCAACATAATATACACGCTGCATCAACTACAATGCAAAACCCAAATATCTAAAAATAGAAAAAACATAGGAAGTATACTTGCCTAAGGTAGAAAACATCTGAAAATGCTAACTAATGTAATTAAAAATAGTAATAATGAAAATACCAGCTGGGTTTGAAACAATGCTGACTTGTCATTGATCACCTTTCCCTGTATTTTACCTGACAATTTTTCCCCCTCCTGAAGACTTTCCCACCACCACCCATCAGAGATTCAATTTCATAGTTAAGAAAACCCAAACAGTTGCACTATATTACCCCACATCTGAAAACTTGTACCTTTTTATTTCCTATATTAAGCAGTTACCAGGATCAAGAATAGATAATATTAAAAAAGAAAAAAGAAAAAAGCTGTTCCTTATATTTGTTCTTTGCAACAAAAGCTGCTGACATAAACATTATTTAAAGTGCCATGTCTAGTATTCCTTACAACTGCTATTTTAGTCTGTTCTTTCTAGCAACATTCATTCTCACAATACAATCTGCAATCTTAAATTATTTATATAGCTGTTACTCTATTCTATAGAGCTACCTGACACCAGAACTGCATACAAGTTATAGTATGGCTTCAGAATTTACAAGTTATTGAAAACACCTAAAAGAATTCCAGATAAACAGAAAACAACCCACAGTAATGGGAGTTAACAGAACACCTCACATGCCTTCCAGGCAACATGCTTTATCCCCACCTAGTGTTAACGAACACAGACTACACGCGAGACAAGAAAATCATGTGCGTAAACCTGTCCGTGTAAGCTAGGAGTGTGGCATGACAGCAGCAGAGACGTATTCAGTGCTGGGAGGCCAAGAGCTCAACTATATATGCTTTGAGGGCTGCAGGGGAGAAAGACTTCAGCTTAACTGTAGTCTGGTCCCTGAATGCCCAGGAGAGGTTGTCTTACATACCCTGAATATTGGCTCAGTCAAATATGATGTGACTCAAGATTACATCACCATAATGACCATAAGGAACCTAAAATCGTCTGCCTCTTCAAACAATCACGTTTAAATCTTTTAAATTTATCGTGTAACTTCAATGTGACTGCAGAGTCCTAGAGACTGCCACTGTACCTTTTTTCATGTGAAGCAGTAAGCATGCACTAGATCTTTTAATCTTTTTTAAGCTTAATACATTTTATTACTGCTAAGATCTCTTATTTTCCTTTTTGAGATCCTAAGCACATCTATGTCACACAATGACTCCCTCACAACAGACACTTGTCCCAGAAATGGCAGGGAAGGGCACTAAAAGAGGTATAGCAAGATTCTGAAAACCTTGTTACAAAAATACACTTTTCCTGACAAGCTTCATGCAACTACCCTGCTGTGCTAGAGCTCCTTAAACAAAGTTCATGATAGCTTTTAACATAAGCATTCTATTGTCTTAAACAAACAAAAAAACCCCAAACAAACCAGGTCTTGCCCAAACTTTCTAAGAAGTCCAGCCCAAGACAAATATCAGAATAGAACACTTTGATCTGATTGGCTACTTAAAATAAATTGTAAAGCTTTATTTTCTGTTGTTACGTGGGCAACAGCTGGGAAATCTCACGTATGTATGTGTACTATTTCCAAGAAACAAGCCAGTCTATGAGAATATTTAAGGTTAATTTTACTAGGAAGTTGATCTTCACTCAATTTTTATCTCTTTGTTTAGCCTTTATTTTGCTTGAACAAGGGTTTAAAAATAATGCTATAACACAGACACATCTATTAATACAAAAATTCCTTAAAAATAAGGTACCTTCTGCTTGGATTTTTGCAACTCCTTTCTGAGACTGTTGCACTCTTGCTTGAGCTTTTCTAGATCCTGTTCCAGACTATGCACCTTCAGGTCACTGCTCAGCTTCTCTATTTCCCAGCTGGACTGAGTACAATTCAGATTTTTCATCACTGTAAGAAGATAAACAAGACAATCAGAATTCAGTCTCAGTTCAAGAAATGTAACTCAATATGTAAGGTTTCACTTTAACCAGCCCATGCCCTACAAAAAATTATCCTGTATGTTCTGAAGAAACTGCAGTCTATGACAACAGAGAAATAGTAACACTGGTAAAGTTGTTGGCAGAGAAGTCTCCTTTCTGAGTTTAAAGTACAGAGCCCTACTTTCCAAGAATGCACTGGAGATTTTACATAAAGAAAACGGAAGTAACAGCATAAAAAGGGACTGGAAATACAAAAATCTGTTAATGGCAAACATGCATGATATATATACCAACTTGCATACTTCTTACATGCTTTGAAAACATGAGCCTCTTCCTCCCTCAGATTTATATCATTACATAATTCACCCTAAGTTCTTCCCAAGTTTAATATGAAGAAGTTCCAAACAGAACTACAAAAGATACAATCAAAACAAAAGGGTAAAGTCTAGAAGTTACTTAAGGCTTCTTATTAGATAGAAGAAATTCACATGGTGTCTATTAAGCAACCTAAGACAATCGTAGCATCAAATCAGTAGTAGAAGGCTAGTTAGACAGCAAGAAAAGAAAGAATATAACAGGAAGAAAACCCCCAAGTCTTCAACTGCACGGTACACTCACTTCCAGATTTAACAATTTAAACAAGCTTAAGCTACACTGATTTTTCTTAAAGAAGGTACTCAGAAGCCCAGTTATCAGTAAAATTGATTACTAAGTAAGGCTTGAAATCACCACATTTTCAGAGCTCGCTTTATAAACACTGCACTTCCTACCTCCTTAAACCACAATGTCCTCAACAATGATACTACTACTACATGTGGTTTGTTCTTCTAGGTTTAAAAACTTGTGCAACTGAAGTAGTGCATTACATGCTTGAGGTCCTCTTGGAAAGTAATCCAATTCAAGCACAGCAATACTTACAAGCACCCTTCAAATGACTGCATTTGTACAGAGTCTGAAATCCAGTCCATACCTCTAACTCTACACAGACAGCATTTTCTTATTCTCTTTTCTTGTAACAGTACATTGTTTTTTTTCTTCCATAGTGTTTTATTTTACATACCTATCATCTACACAGCAGTCTTTACAATGGCAGTAACAGAAGCTGGATTTGGGCTTTTGGAATTGCCAGGGTACACTGCTTGTTTCTCTTTTCCCCTTTCCACCAGGCTCTCTACAACCAGCATCTTTCTACCTTTCCTCACCTCCCAGCCCTTTAAATAGCTGTTGCCGACTGCAGCTATTGCTATACAACATCCTCCTGTACCTGTCATATCCCAACAGTGAAACAAAGCAATATATCAGATCATCTACAGGTACCAGGGAAAGTGGTATTGACGGGATAGTGTTTGATATTTGAACAATTATGCCCCCATCTCACTCTGAGGAAAAGGTGGTGGGTGTTTTGGATTTGTGTGGTAGGGTTTTTGGTGGGGGGGGAGTGGCTGCAGGGGTGGCTCCTGTGAGAAGCTGCTGGAAGCTTCCCTGGCTCCAAGTCAGACCCACCTCTGGCCCAGGCTGACCCCATCAGTGACGGTGGTAGCGCCTCTGGGAGAATGGATTTAAGAAGGGGAACTGGCAGTGAGTAGGGGGACTGGAAAGTGAGAGGAACCCCTGTGCAGACAGCAAGGGCAGTGAAGAAGGAGGGGAGGAGGAGGGGATGCCCCTGCAGCCCATGATGAGATGGCAGGCTGTCCCCCCCGCCAGCCCATGGAGGGGAGCAGGTGCCCACCTGCAGCCTGCGGAGGAGCCCACACCGGAGCAGGGGGATGCCCCCGAAGATGGCCATGACTCCATGGGAAAGCCTGTGCTGGAGCAGTCTGTGCCTGAAGGACTGCAGCCCATGGGAAGGACTCATGTTGGAGAAGTTTGTGGAGGACTGTCTCCCATAGGAGGGACCCCACGCTGGAGCAGGGGACGAGTGAGGAGTCCTCCCCCTGAAGAGGAAGGAGCGGCAGAGACAAGGTGTGGCAAGCTGACCCCAACCCCCATTCCCTGTCCCCCTGCACCGCTGGGGGGAGGAGGTAGAGAAAATTGGGAGTGGAGTTGAGCTGGGAAGGAGGGAAGGGTGGGGGGAAGGTGTTCTAAGGTTTGGTTTTACCTGTCACTATCCTGTTTTGATTTGATTGTTAACAAATTAAATTGATTTTGGTTTTTTTCCCCCAAGTTGAGTTTGGTTTTTGCCCGTGACCATAATTGGTCAATGATCCCTCCCTGCCCTTGCCTCAACCCATGAGCTTTTCTTTATATTTTCTCCTCCTCATCCCACCACAGGGGAGGAGTGAGCGAGCGGCCTCGTGGTACTTTGTTGCCGGCTGGGTTTAAACCATGACAGTGGTGTCCAGAGATGTACACGACTAGCCTATAAAGTGTCAGGTTGTGCACATTTCTCAAACGATTAAATAACCTACAGTGGAAGAACGTGACAGCCTCAGATCTCTACCATGGACCTCCTCGTCTATGATAACTAAACATGCCTGCCACCATTTACAAGAATGAACATATATGCAAGCTCAAGGTACCTCACTGCAGTATACTCCTGTCTTACCTAGCCACTATATAGGGTTAAACCTCTTCATGCCCTGAGATCATAATATAACCACTAAGACTAGTCAACATACATTAAGATGAAGTAACCACATACATACCTTGTTGAGTTTCCACTTCAGTTCTTAGCTGTAATAGCTCTACTTCTTTAGACTGCAACTGTTCATTCAAGGTTTTCAAGGATTCCGCACTTTCTTTCATCTGTTTTCAGGGAAAGGGGGAAGCCATTTGTGAAGCTTTTTTCTATCATATCTGACAATTCTGAGGTTTTGGGTTTTTTAAAAAAAACAAACCAAGAAAACTATTGCTTTGATTTTTTTTTTTTTTTAGCATTACCCAAGCCCAGCAATAAAATTGAGATACTTAAGGCCGTTATTCCTACATAAAGTATTGACATGTACTTTAAAAACCTAAAGGAGTGATAAAAC